GTTTTCAGTCAGTTCAAAAGTTTGGTGAATTACTTTGAAAGTGGAAAATAAATGAATGATTTCAACTGCAAATCAAATAAACCTTGTTTATAAAGCCAAACCATGCCATGCTGTAGTGTCGGAAGATCTTCTGTGTGTTGCTATTATTGTTCATTTTCCTACTGTTTCTCCTTGAATGTCACAATATTTCGCATGTCAGATATTTTGACAGCAGTGGTTTCCACGCAGTCTGTAATTGGAAATATTATGACAATAATTGTTTGCGGTGACAACTGATTTTACCGTCTGTAAACGGACCAGGATTCTGCTCGTCCGAGGCTCCGATTTCAAACTCTTTCCCCCCACCCTTTTGTGTGTGATATCTTTGACAAGCGCTATCTGTCATCGCGCAAACAACAAGACTGAAGCAGCCGGACTTCTTCCCCAAAGCCGGCACCTTTAATGAAGTTAGCGAATAATAGGGCGTCACCTCGGAGATGAACCGATGTTTCAAACAACGCTTAAAAGCTCTCGCACGTCACTCCCATCAGCTCTGCAACAACACCATGCTTCTGATCTCCACCTGCCTGCTACACACGGGCCAACACACCTGACTTCACATCAGCTCTGCTGACAGCTGACACACACACAAACACACACCTTACCAGTCACACTACACACACACAGCTGGACAGAGAGACATCTATCAGAGTTGTCCATTTCTAATACATAGCCACTGCATCCTAATAATACAATGAACAGTCGATTTATTGATTGTCAATCTTTGTCAGAAATTGTGTTGGCATAATTTATTCATTGTTTAAGTTAATTTTCAAGCAAAAATATCAAAAATGTTCTAGGTTCAGCTTCTTGAATGTGATTTAAAGACCCCCAGGCATATAAAAATAATCTGCTGGAACAATAATGTGTCAGGTCTTTTTCCCTGCAAAAAAAAAAGCTAAAATTTCCACATTAAAATCCTTAAAAAGTAATCTTTCTAAAGTTTTGCTGCTGGACACAAGATGTCTCCTCCTTCACTGTAAAGTCCATTCTCAGTGGATGTGCACTGGTGGCTTCAAGTTTCTACATCACACTGAACAAGTTTACATACTGGACCAGGACTGACTTCCTAACTATTTATGATGTCACATGGTGGTAGGCCCCGCCCGTTAAAGTCAGATTTTCAATGAGCACAGAGGAACTTTCCACTTTCAGCAGATTGATGTGAAAACATCCTTCTAGTGTCAAACTCTGCACAGACATCATTCAAACAGCACACTGTAGGGACAAGGAGATTTTTTTGACTAGAGGGGGACTCAAACAAAATAAGTAATTTGAAGACATCTATGATGTGCATTTGTCACTGTTTCCTGACATTTTGTAGACAAATCAATGAATTCAACAACTGTAACAAAGGTAAGAGCAAACAACAAAGGTTAGCTGCAGTCTGAATAATAATATAAAAAATAAAATATGCATTGTTAACCAGGCGAGAAGAAAAGCCTGAGGGAAACACTGAAGGCATCTCTTTAATATAATATTTAGGGGTGTAAAACAGTCATATTTAACACTTGTAATATTCACACATGAACCCATAAATATCAGCTTCAATGTCAGTCTTCAAACACCCCAGATCAGATCAACCGATAATGCACAAACATGCACATCATGGACTACCACGCTGGCGTCACAGAGCCAAAAGTGGAAACCAGAGCTTTTTCTCCCCTCCTGCTCCATCAGCAAACAGCCTGGATTGCTATTGACCGTGTGGAGCGTACAATATCTCAGCTTTTTTCTTTTCTTTTTGCGTGTGTGTGTGACAGGTACAGTAATAACATTGGATTGTATTGATCCAGCTGTGCAGAGCGCCATGCGTACCTCAGGGAAAGCTAGGAGGTTGTACAGTTATCTCCCGGGGTGTAATTCTCAACTATACAACCTACTACCTCAACCTGGGAGCAAGCAGACCTGGACACCAGGGCTTCATGGCTCAGGGGGGATAAAAATGGAAGGAGGGTGCAAACGATGCCACTTAAAAAAACTAAAACTTGATGCACTATGAGATACTTTCCTCCCATGTCAAAGTGGTTATAACATTTTAAAAGGGGCCCTAGCAGTGCAACTGTGTATCTTAGATACAGTCTCTATACACAAAGCAGATAAACATGTCTTACTCCAAACTCTTTACGTCACTGACCCCAAAACACACAAACCAACCCCAGCCCTCTAAATGCTGATCAGACTTTCTCCCCTTAAAGAAAAGGCTTGCAGTTGCTCATTTGAAACTGCTAACATGTGGGAGGTAATGGCCGTTTGTGAGAAAACAAGCATTACGGCTGCCATTCGTATGCATTCTCTAATTGGGCCGATGTCCACTTCATTAACACCAGAAAGGCCGAGCTGCAGCTAATTGACTGCTGACTGAAATAGCCGTCTCCTCGGGAGCTTTCCACAAACTAACATTTGAGAAAATACACAAATAAACTGTTGCTCTAATTATAATTTCCCTTTTAACTGACTCTTCGTTGGCCTTCTCTTAACCCCTCAAAGTCCAGTTGTTTTTGGAGAAGACAAACTGAACTGTGTGGAAAAGTGTCAAGGACCCCTGAAAAAGACCCAAATCTGACTTTTCCAAGCTTTGGTATAGCTTAGAAGATTTCTGAGACAGATATTGCTTTAGATATTTTTATATAGTTTGAGAAAAGCCTGTTCTGGAGGGTTCAGGTTTTGAATGTGAGGACCTCAGAAGTGGTTTGATACCAGGACGGAGGGAGCTTTCTTAGGAACGGCCAGAGTAAAGCAGTGCTGCCGGTATCTGTGACAGGGAAACGGTTAATAAAGTTAGAGAGAGCTGGCGAGTGGCCCCCGCTGTATTTTTTGCTGATGCTGCTCGGGTCGTTGGAGCTGCACAGACGCAGACCTGTAGATACAAGCTTGTGGTGTGAGTTAACACAAGTTCGGATCTACGGGTTCGGGGCTGTGAGCATAGATGACTTCACGCATCCGTCAGCATGACGAGACAGAAGGAGTGAGCCTCCTTCATCAGCAGGACCATGTGTACTTCAAGATTCCTTTCTAAAGGCAGTAAATAAGTAAATAATTTAAAGCCTAATACACAAACGTTAACACCACTTATTGCTGAAAATTAGATGCAAATAATTAGCCTAATATTCAACAAAAATGATGAAGCCTCCTGTTCTACCTTGGATTTGAAAAATTCACAGTTTCAAATGAAAGACAATACAATGTAGGCCGAGAATAAAGCAAATAAAGGAATAATCGCTGCCATTCAAAAGTAAAAACTAGAATCTATATTTAAAAAAACAGGATTAAAAGGAAGGTCATTTCTTGCAATTGCTAAATCAGAAAACAACATTTTTGGGTGGTCACACTTCATCCAAAACTTCCATCTTCACTCACAAGACTCCACCAGCTCAACTCCTCAGCTGATCCCACAATGCACTGCATCAACTGAGTACATATTGAACTTCATATTGTACTTTATTATTTGCTTACAGGTTATAATTATGCCAACACTTGTACACGGCTCTGTTTCCTCGCTACGAGAGAGTCGTTCCAGTGAGTGATGGGCGGAAAAATTCGAGTGGCATTTTAAGAGGCATGTGGCTGAGCTCAAATGAGACGCAAGTAATATAAAATGTTCAAAATAAATTGCTCTCATAAAATACTGTGTAGGAGTTTTTGCTTTGTTAATACCTGTGGATATTCAGCAGGACTTTGTGTTGCCATACAGACGCCTCGCTGTACAGTACATACTGCAACAATGGTCTCAAAATAATAAAGTTGGTCCTCATGTTGTGCTTGAATTCAGTTAAGGATTATGTTAAAGTTATATTAAAAGTTTGTGTTTTAATTAAATTAATTGACAGGGCGAGGAATCATGGCATGGATCTGTAATATTATAATAGGATTTCTTAATAGAACTACATTATCAAAGGCTCACAAATGTATAGATGCCTTAATTAAAATAATGACAAAAATAACTGACATTATGCAGCTAATAAAAGCAGTAAAAGATGATTAAACTGAGAAGACGAACCACCTACACGTCACAGGACTGTTGTCTTGAAATCTTAAAAAAGAAATTTAATATACATTTGATAATATGAAAACTATTCTCTGATTACTCACTTTACATTACAAGCGTTTCACTGAAGGTAAAAGCCACAATGCACGCACAAAAAGTTCAACTGTGACTGCACATTCCTGTCTAATGTGAACAGAGTTGTCGCTCTGCAGCACAGGCAACAACGTAAAACTTGTAAAACTCAGAGATGAAAAAGAGTGAGTGGTCTAATTTCAACTTCCAGACTCCATCTGAAGTTTCCTTTTCTCCTTCTCTTCCCTCTGCCTGAATTTAAATGAGACGTCTGACTTTGAAGCTGTTGCCAAGTTGCTTAAAGTATGTCAGTGGGTCTTTGCCAGCGAGCTGAAAGACACCTTGAGATTGGCCGAACAAAGAGGTCAGCGGGGTCCACAGCACCCTGCCAGCCAACGCCGCCACCGCTGCACCAGCGTGTGTGTGTGTGTGAGGATGACTTAGAAGAGCGCCGACAGAACTGAGAGCGGCTAAAGGCCACCACCTGCATTGTTCGGCACTGAACAGCGCCGGCGGGCAAACCCAGCGGCGCTACCCAGCCCTGCTCGCCCAAATCTACCCAGCAACAGAGGTGGTGTGTGTGTGTGTGTGTAGGAGAAGGTAGGGTGGGGTGGGGGTTGGAGGGTTCAACAGAGGTGAAGAAGTGAGAGGTGAGGAAGTGGCATGTCGTTAGCGCTTCATAATATCATGCAGTGTAAACAGATAGCCCCGGCTAGCCAACAGGTAGCATTCAGTCTAGGCCCCATTCACCGCAGCTAATGTACAGTAAACATCACAGCAAAACTCCACCACGGGACAAAAACAGCAACCACACTGCTGAATATGAAGAGCCACAAAGCAAAAAAGAAAAAAGAGAAGAAGTGGAAAGAGCTCGGAGCACATTGGTAGCATGAGGACTTACCGATTTGCCTTTATGTTTAGTTTCCAAATGTTTCTTTTCTCTACTCTGCAGGGCCTACGGTGCTTGGCAGAAGGTATAGGCAGTCATGTCCACTGTGGCCCACCAAAAAATCAAAAAAAAAAACAGCTCAAACATGCAACTACAGTAACAAAACCAACCCGAAAAGGAGCTCGGGGAGAGGGTGGGAAAGAGTGAGACAAAAGAAAAAAGCAAAGGGAAGAGGGAGAGAAACTGGTGGGGGGAAGAGAAGGAGGGGAAAAAAGTAAACGATAACAGAAAAACAGACTCGTTTTTTTTTCTTTCTTTCTTTGGTGTTTTTACAATTTCAGTTTACCGCGCGCTAGTAATAATAAGTATAAATAAGCGAGAGGTAATCTTTCAGCCTGTAAAACCTCTGCAATCTACAAGCAGCCTCCCTGCACTACGAGCAAATGACAAGCAACATCTGTTTGTAAGACAGCCAAAATCCCAGCCTTAAAAAAAAAACTACCAAAAAACGCAGAAAATTGGCTTGATTTTTCTCTCTTTCTCAGTCTTCAAACTGCAAACTCTCCTTGTCTGTTTGACTCCCTCACTCGCTCAGCTGAATAAGGCAAAACAGAGAAGAGAGGAGGGGAGTGTGGAAATTCAGCGCAGGGAAAATGCAGCCATGAAGCCATCCTCCTGTCACCCCTGAACCTCTCTCTTTCCCTTCTTTTCCTCGCCCCCCCCCTTCTCCTCCTCCCTGCACACTCCTTCTTCTTCTTCCTCTCCCCCCCTCTTCCCCAAAATGCAAGATGGACAGTCCAGTCAAGGTATAGCTACCACTCACTCAGTCCTTCTCTTCCCAAAACGCCCCACTACTCCGACACATAAACACTTGGACACACACACTTGTATCCCCGTCTCCCAAAGCGTCCCACACAGCCAGAAGCAGACTGACTGCACGTACACACTCGTGGATGCACAAACAAAAAGTGCATATACAGAAATACACACGCGCACGCTCACACACGCATTTCTTGGACAGCTTCCATGCACCAAAAACAAATACCAATCTTTAGTTAGCCTCAGCTGCGAATAGAAAAGAAGGAGTCATTTCGGGACTTGGCTCTGTTTACCGAGGCACAGATACAGACCATTTCTCCATATGCCTGCCTTTCACAGCTCGGGAGCAGCTCCAGATTTGACTGTATCATAATACTGCGAAAAATGTCCTCTGTCACTGATATCTTTTGATAATATCCAGCTCCAGTAATAGGACCGTGAGAGTGGCCGACATTCGGCAAACCAGAAGTGCTGGACCTGTTTGTCATGTTTTCAGTCTCGGGAATTAATAGGTAGGGTCGTGCAGTTCTCCAAATGCTAGTGACAGCACATGAGCTCTGTTCCATTATAGGACATAAGTGGGTGCCAAGTGAATCAATACAGCACACGGAGACAGAGAGACAGCTTCAATTTAAGCTGCAGGAGCAAAGATACACATACTCCACTGAGGTGCTGCAAGTTTACCCTGTTTTGCCAAATGAAATTCAGGTGGAAGGCGGAGATATCTCCTAGAACTCAAACATTAAAGTATAATATGAGGAGTCTCCTTACAGCAGTGAATGGACATCCACTGAAAGCTGGACTCGCTGGAAGTTGCTCTTTTCTTCCCTCACTTCATTGGTACGAGGCGCCACACGCTGGTTTGGTAAACAGGGGCATGCTGACATCACATTACAGGAATTCTGGGTATTCAAGTGTAAGGAATAGATCGGCCAAAAATAAAATCTATCTACTCATCTGGGTAATTATGGATCCCATTGCAGTTATGGGAAGAGACCAAAAGATTCTAACCCACATTTTAACTACGCCAAACCTTTACCAATGCGCAGATCATATTCAGCTTTATATTTAAACTCAACTGTCTCAAGCTTTAACTTAACATGACCTTTTTTAACCTTATGCCAAAACTCAAACTTCCAGTGAGGTGGGCCAATCACCGCACAGTTTGCCTCATATCCCCATGAGGTTCTGCAAACCAGCCCAGTTTATGCCTCTCATGTATCATTAGTCCACTGGATCAGTAAATCATGAACTATTTGAAAAAAGGGTGTTATTCAACTTTCTCTCACCACTGCTTTGAAGATGGAACCAGAATCCTATCCACAAGGGTGTACATGCAGACCAGAACAATATAACAGGTGCACTGGCAAATTAGCAGGAACAATATAATAGATAAGAATATTTAAAAAAAAGGTGCCTGCACACTGATACTGATTTTTCATTAGTGTAGATTTAACCTGAATATCGGAATTGATTGTAGATAAAAATGGCTCATTCTAACGTAACAGAAACACAGAGGGAACTATCATGTTTCTACAGTAGCCCAGAACCGACAAACCAAACACTAGCTCTAGATAGGACCTTTGGTGTTTTTCGCAAGTTTCGTGAGCACTGTAGTTTCTCCTACACACTGGGAACGGGAGGGTGAGGCGAGAGGGTTGAAATCTAGAATTACACTGGTAGATGTTACTAAATCCCACATGCTAGTCCTTTAAAGTCAAATCACCATATGTAGACTTCAGAAATGGGTTCAATTTCCCATTATCATCAAAGGCACAAACTGGTATCTTCAAATCTCCAAGGACTATCATGTTTACTTTAATATGCAGCTATTTTATTAGCCATTATAGTTTGAAGAAAAGGGGTGGAGCCTCAAAATAAATTCAATGGATGATAGGTCATCTATGAAAATAAATAAATAAATAAATGATGGTTATGATCAGGCAACTTAAACCACTTAGATAAGGTTTGGGAAAGCTTGCGGCCAAGAAACACTAAACAAAACTCAACAGTGATTTCTAGCATGATATGGGACACAAGTCAGGAACATCAGCGTTTTTAGTTCTTATATACACATGTATATTTATATATATATTTATGTATATATATAAAACATATTTTGTACAGTGGTAATGCTTGAAAAACATTACCCTACATCAAAACAGCAAATGCTCGGACAATAAACTTTAAAAGCTCAGTTAAGGATATTCTAAACTCGATGTTCACTTACTAACTTATTTCCTGAGCTTTTCAAAAAAAGAAGGGTTTGGGATATGTTTAAAAAGCTTTGTCTCTGGGTATGTTTTGAATTTGACATTTGTGAAGGAACTGAAAAAGGAACCACAAGTCTTCACGAGATGTAGTTCTACCAGCACTTTGCGAATGTTGGAAAGTCTAAGTGATAATTTGCCTATGGATGTACACTGCAATCATTTGTCAAACACTTGGGATGTGTTTAAAACACAAAACCAAGTGTCCTTTTTTTCTTTTTTAGTCCTTTTTAGAAATGAAAGAGCCATCATGGAGCTTTGCTAGCTAACATGCTACCATACAAACTTCTATAGAGGTGTAGTGCACACTTGTGATGTATGCACAACATTTTAATATTACATTTTTCCATTACTGTCAATTTACTATTTTCCTTCTTGCCTTGAAGTACTTCTTTCATCTTTTTTTTTCTCGTACTGTGTTTATCGTTATGCACCAATACAAAAATTTTCCTTGTATATGAAAACCCACTTGGCAATAAGCCTGTTTCTGATTTCCTGCAGGCATTGTGGCTGCAGCAAAATTCAAGAACTTTATTTGCCATTTGTGCTTGCACACATAGGAACTCAAGCTGACCAAGTTTGACAGGCTGGCTTTATAATGTAATGTAATTAATCACAAATTGTCGCTGATCTGTCTCCATATTTTGTTGTTTTTATTTTTTCCACAAATCAAAGCTATTGGGCACCCTTTAGGTCTGTCTGTGAACTTTGCAAATATTTAACATATTAAACTAACAATACCAGCTTTGACAATTAGGATTGTAAGAAATATTGTATCGCGATATTTTGTTTTGTGATATTGTTTCGATTCTCAAAACCACCTTTATGGTTGCATAAAAAAGTAGGGTTAGGGTTTTTCTTGCATGTTACTCAATGCATGAGCTAATGTCATGAATCAATCAACACCTTAAATGCCAATATGGCAACTTTGACCATTACATTTGTTTTTAGTGGCTCTCTTGCATAACATACACATAGCGATAACTGGATTTTCAGGCGCTAAAAAATGTATGTATATTAATTTATTATGTGATTATGTGAACTGCAGATTTTCTGTTTCCTCACTTGGAGAAAGTGTGAGAAACTGTCAGAGTGCGCTCACCTGTGGTCAGTTGTCACAAAATCTTAATCCCTGGGTAAACCTTAAAGAGTTGCCTCTTACTGTCATTTTTGGGGCCACCAACGAAGTCTCTCAGCAATCCAACTAAAAAAGCAAATATGTGTGTACCAAACTACTGATTGACTTGTGGTGGGCTCTGAATGAGAGGCAAAAAGTGAAGCCCTATTCTGTTTTTTCTGTTCTTATGATCTCCATCCTTCACTGTCCTTCACATGCTGACTCCGGTACGACCTCTAGCACACAGATAACTAGCATAAAGTTTCCTTCAGGGACAAAAAAACAAATAAATGCTTTAAACTTAAAGTAGATCCACAATAATCTCGCTGTAATGAAATTTTACTGTGTCAAGCCTTTAGCCTGAGTCAGGGTTCATGAGATGTGTTTGCTGCAGTCCTTGTAATCCCTTCAAATTGCTTCTCATACAGAAATGAAAGTTGTATGGTGCCATTTCATAGATCATGGATTACGGGTTCTGCCTCAAATGCACATGATGAACCCAGACTTTAGTATCTTGGACTGTAACCACTGCTTGGTGTGACTGTAGCAGCTCTCTGCAGGCTGACTACACATTACTTTAAATGAGTTGAAACATTATAGAATGATCCTCCTTGTGCTCCCATTTTAAGACCTCAGGATTAATCCTCGTCCAACTTTTAATTTAAACAGCTCCTTATAAACTAAACTGCATGCAAATGAAGACTCTATAAGTGTGCTGTTTTACATTTTAGTTGAAGTTTACTGGCACTTTCTTTCATGCATCATGAATATCACCCCTTTCCAAAATTCTGTGTCTGTACCCCTTCCATCTTCTCTCCTCTCTTCTCCCTCCGTCTGATATTCTGCTCACGCACAACTGCGGCAGCCCTCCTCCAATCGCTGGCATTAATCCACACCTCAGACCCCCCAGACACACTGTCTGCTCTCCCACAATGCACCTCAGCTCCAAAACTTTCCCAGACACATTTGGCCTTCTCTCTATCGCTTACCTCTCCCTCCCTCTTCAGCCCCTTTTCTTTCATTCGGTCTCCACATGGCTCTTCATCGTCCAGTTTCATTCGCTCTGCCTCTTTCTTTCTCAAACTCTCTAAATTTCCCCTTTCTTTCTCTCTATTCAGCCACGGCCTGTCTGACAAAAGTATCTCCTAATCTTCCCCAGAGTCCATTTGACATAAAATGGCGGCACAGCAACCGACCAATACCGTCATCGCTCTCAAATTGGAAAGCAGAGCCACAGTCAGCTTCAGTTGTTTTTTTTTAAGTTTTAGATTTGAGCGTCTCAAATATTTTCATGTTGCGGACCCCCAAGTAGAACAAGAGTAAAGTCCCAGATCCCATTTATCGGGGGAACAAATAGCAATGTATTTCTGCACCTGGATATTGTTTGGTTTGTTTTTTCTCATTCTTCCCAAATACTTTTCCTTATTTTTATCATGTATAATTGGTCAAACGTAGGCACTATTACGTTACTTCAAGATATTTCTGACAGCTGCAACAATTTGATTCTGAATTCTTTTGCACAACCTAGAACATCAGTGGTCATTGTCAGCTTTTGTGTTAGCTTCTAAAGGAGCAAGGTTTGAGGAATTAC